AGATTTAAAAGGGAAATTTATTGGTCCACATTAACATTCAAAGTTAAGAAAATTTCCAAATTCTAATATGATTGCTGAATGCTCAACATTGAAAATTAAAAAAGTTTCCAAATTCTATTATTACTTTTTAAAATTATTAAAGATAAAAATATTATGTATAAAATTTATATTAATCATAAAAACTAAATAAATAATATTAAATAGTACTAATTTTAAATTTAAATTAGATGTTTCAAATATATAAATAACTAAGAACAAATAAAATAGTAAAATTTATTTACATATGTATACACATACATTTAGAGACTCATACATTAGTATCCAAATTTTTCTCACATAGCTATAATAAATTTAAGATTTTTTTTATGTGTGTGCAACCATTTCAATTAAAAACAAATAAAATAATAGAGTTAGCTTTCATTAAGGAAAGAGTCATTACAACCTATAAGAACAAACTTGGTTAAACTATTTGTTTAACTATTAGCTAGACAAATAATATGATGAAAGGAGGTATAGACAGCCACTACAAGCTGCTTTAATGTCGAAAAAGAGACATGTCAAGTGATTGATATCCAACATTTTTGAAAAACGAAGTACTGAGAATAAAGAAAGAGGTTCCGTCATTAAGGTAAAAGAGATTGAGGTATCTCAGGAAGATCCTTGGACTAACATGGCATCTGTCAGGGTTTTAACAACTCAACCTGAATCACAAAAGTAAAAATTAGCTGACCAAGTAGCATCCGAAATACATTCAGTAAAAATAAGGAAGAGAGACCGCGACGACTTACCTCAAACGGTCTCGTTACTAATAAAAATGAAGCTAAAAGTCTTTACGGGTGTTTATGTAGGATTAAAAAGGCATTTCTTTTAGTCCATATCAATATTTAAAATTAAAAAAAAATCCAAATTTTAATATTATGGCTTACAAAGAAATATACAGAATAAGGAATTTGTGTATAAAATTTCCATAAACATTTAAAAAAAACTAAAATCATATCAAATTGCACATTTCTTAAACAAAATAGTGGTCTCAATATAAATAACAATAAATAAATATATAATAAACAAATTTACATGTGTGAATATTGTATATATACACATTTAAAGAACACTTTGTTTATTATGAAAAAATAGTTTTACAATCATATTTGTTACAAACATATCATCAATAAGAATATAGTAAAAACTCAATAAATTAATAATATTGGGACTATGGTATTTTATTAATGTATAGAATTATTATTTTATATAATTCAAATAATTTTTTAATTTTAAAATTTTTTTTTTAAATTATGATATTTATTAAAATCGTTTTAAAATTAAAGATGAGTTCCAAGAAAACTTTAAGTTAAAATAATAATAAAAAATCAACTCATATTTTAATAGATTATGTTATTTATATGTTTATATTAAAAAACAAATTATAATAATTATTAATTATAATATTTATGAGACCATATATTTACATAAGAGTTTTTCAAAAAGTTATTATCTTATTATTTTATCGAATTGTGTCATTTTTTTAACAGACCCAATTCGGGACCATGAAAAATTATAAATTTATAGTATTTATTAATTTATCGAGTATTAATTTATAAAGTTTATATTGTATATATGTTATTTATAAAAGTTAAAGTTACTTTATTTTAAGGTTTTCCATAAAGTATTTACCAATAATTATAATTATAATCTATATTAGCATCTAATTATTGCCACATGTCCATAAAATATATCCACAAAGTCGCATAAGATACATAATTCGGAAATGATATAAGAAATTAAATTTTAGATTCAGCTTATGATTGTTATGATTAGTCAATACGACATTCCGCGAGCCTTAGCTTAGTCAATACGACTTTCCGCTAGCCGCTTCTAAAGAACTATGGTATCAGAGCCATGGCTCATGTTCTGATTGAATGAATCATTGTTTATGAATGATTGTTGTGAATGTTCTGGAAAACGATCCCTTAATCATGTCAATTTCAAATCCGAATCCTCCAACCATCGATTCTCCGTTTGCAATTTCCACTTTACCAAAATCAAAAAGCCGTTCTTTCTCATTTAGTATCAATTCTCTCTACGAAATTGAATACGTCCCTGGAGATCAGCTACCCGAAACCACACTCCCTCTTGTTAATCCATATGAATACTTTGCCAAAAAGCCTAGTGCTTTCTCGGTTAAAGGTGTTCGAGAACTCATCAAGCCATCTTCCAATCGAAAAGTCATGGAATATGTCCAGTCCAGCAAATTCTCATCCTGCCAAGTCCCAGCAACCGAAGAAGAACAATTCATCTCGCTCAACATACCG